GCTTCCTGGATTTCCTGGAAGTCTATTTCCTTTGCCAGAATGGGGAAGTTCTCCTTTATTATTTGTTCAAATACGTATTCAATCTGTTGCTCTACTTCTTCCCCTTCTGGTACCCCTATAATTCGGATGTCAGAACATTTAAAGATGTCCTGGAGGTTCCTAAGCTTCTCCTCATTTTTTTTTTGAATTCTTATTTCTCCATTCATTCCTGTTTGGTTTTTTTGTTTCTTCCTTCTGGTCCACTCTATTGTTTTGAGTCCCAGTTTCCTTCCCATCACTATTGGTTTCCTGTGCATTTTCCTTCATTTCTTTTATGGTAACCTGCATTTGTTCATCTAATTTGCGACCAAAATCAACCAATTCTGTGAGCTTCCTGATCACCAGTGTTTTGAACTGTGCATCTGATAGGTTAGCTATCTCTTGGTCGCTCAAAAGGATGAGTTCTGGGGCACTGATTTGTTCTTCTGTTTGAGCCATCTCTCTCTCTCTTTTTTTTTTTTTGGTCTGGTGGCTCCTGTTACAGTGAGGGGTGGAGCCTTAGGTGATCACCAGGGCTGGGCACCCCTGTCACTAGATTGTGAAGTTGTATGTGAGGGCGGGGTTGAGAAGGAACAATGGTGGTAGCTCCGTTTTCCGAGGGACCTCAGTCCCTTCCCTGCGATCCTGGGTTGCGTGCTCTGCCCTGTTCCACAATCGCCGCCTCACTGGGTCTGCCAGCTGCCGCTTGGGTACTCAGGGTCCACCCGCTGCGATCTTGCACACCCTGGATGCCTTACGCACCCAACTCTCCCTGCTCTCAGAGCCTCAACCCGTGCCTGGCTGCTCATCTCTACTCCTCCTACCAGTCTGGATGAACAGGTCTATTTCAACTTCTTGGCTGTCTGACTTCCATTCAGATAACTTTTCTGTCAGTTCTGGGTGTTATTCTGCCTCTAAATTGTTGTTGTTCCAATCTTGGTTGTGCGTGGAGGTACGGTGCATCCACCTATGCCTCCATCTTGGCTGGAAGTCTGGTTAACTTACATAATAATTCTTACTAATAACCCAAGAAGTTAAAATTTTCAAAGTGACAAAAGCAAACTGATAGAGCATCCTTAATTATTGGCACACTATGTTATCAAGTCACGTTCCTGGGTTGCCCTGGTTATTAAATCCCCAAATTTTAAATTATTCTATATCATTCTGTAGAAAACTATATGTAAATCCGATTCAATATTTTGGCTGTGTTTCTCCAACAGGGATTTCCAAATCTATATTTGAAAATCCAGCCTTTGGTTTAGATTTATGATAATCAGGTAAGTACAACCGACTCAAAATTCCTTACTGGGAGGAAAACCTAGATAACAAGTTAATAATGGATTCAGCCTCAAAAGGATAATCACCATGTCAAAGACTACACATTCCTAAAATTTAAAAAAATGATTTATGTTGTATAGCCAAGTTTCATAGCATGCATATATGCACATATATACTTATGTGTATGTACATTATATATTCACATTTCCATTCATCTAGTAAGATCCCATATTCAAAAGTTTTATATCATGCCCTGGGCAGTATGACTCGGTTGGGCATCGTCTGGCAAGGCAAAAGTACACGAGTTTAATTTCCCGTCAAGGCACAAGCCTGGGTTGTGAGCCAGGTCCCCAGTTGGGGCAAGGCAGCTAGTCAATGTTTCTCTCTCACATGGATGTTTCCCTCCCTCTCTTTCTCCCTCCCGTCCTCTCTCTCTAAAAATAAATAAAATCTTTTGAAAAACCAGTTCATTGAACAATTGAAAAAAATAGTTCATATCACAACATATGAAGAAGAGGTAAGTAAGCAGTACAAAGCAATTTACTTTCTCCTAGAAAAGTAATGTCATTTCTACGTTTTAAGAAAGCTGATAATTTGCTCTTGTGACACTAGGTAGGAATGCTGAACTACTGCCTAGCAGCTTTATTTAAAAATAAAGAACATAAAATGTTTAGATTGACCATTACTTTTCTCCATATATTGGGGAGATGGTGGGGGTAGAAAGAGGGGAGAGAAAAATCAGTAACTTTTCAAAACTGATGATCTTTACCAGTTATCAGAACTGGACTGAATTTCATTACATTTTAGACTTGAATATCTCTCAATAAAAATCATGAAGGTGCTTAAAAGTAAAAGATTCATAGTATGAAGCCTGAATAATGACATTGCAAAAACAAGTCAAGATTGCGCACAAAGCATCCAAGAATATCGCTGTGGTTTTACCTTGGACCTACAACCATGGTCTGTTGCAAAAGTAGATCATACACACAAGGTAGAAAAAACATTAAATGTTTAGCTAAAGGCAGCAGTTCTTTAAAAAAAAAAAAGATTTTATTTATTTATTTATTTTTTAGAGAGGTAAGGGAGGGAGAGAGAGAGAGAGAGAGAGAGAGAGAGAAACATCAATGTGCAATTGCTGGGGGCCGTGGCCTGCAACCCAGGCATGTGCCCTGACTGGGAATTGAACCTGCGATACTTTGGTTAGCAGCCCGCACTCAATCCACTGAGCTATGCCAGCCAGGGAAGGCAGCAGTTCTTTTAAAGGGACATCCCCAGCAATCCAGTGAGTAGTAGAAGGTAAGTATATTAAGCGCATGACAATCCTGAAAAATATGATGTCTTATTCAGTAGAGTCATCCCCGACTATATGACTATAATTTCCTCATGATCCCCAACCTCAGCCACCTCCACATCCCCTGAAGGCTCCTTTCTTCTTATAATTAAAGTTGCCAAATTGCTACTATATTTCCCTCTAGGAGGATTATAAATCTGCCTGACATCCCTTTTTGGTCCTGCTGGAAATTTCTTGGTGGTAAACCCAAAAGTTGTATCTTCATCAGCTCTCTTTTGACTGATTTCAACCTTCTGTGTATTTCCAGGGTAATGTTACTATGCTCCTATAGGAGGAGGAATGTGGAAGAGATCCTTGGTTAAAACATTGGCATTCTTTGTTATTTTTAATGCAATAACTTTAATCTTGTTCTCTTCTGTTTATAAGGCCTTGCCTGTTTTACCCTGGAGGGCCAAGTGAAGTTGTCTGATACAAAACTTTAGACCTTGTGCAAAGCAATGTAGCCTAATTTTAAAATCTTTGAGCTCTTCAGCATTCAGTTTGACTGTTAAGAAATCTGGAAGTTTTCAGTCCAACTGCTAGAAGCTGTATGACAAACATTACACATAACTGAACTGCAGCTTGGGTTCTTCATTACCAGGATTCTCCCCATTTTCTGCTTCTTCTGGAGGGAGAGGCATAATAATATGCCTCTCCAATAATATGACTCCAATAATTTATTTTCATTCCTTAAAGTTCTTTCTAGCTTTTCCTTGTCATCACAAAATAAACTCATCTCCACCAACAGTTTCTATACTTCCAAATATATATCGGGACTTCCCACTGAAATAGTCAAAGAGCTGAGGTTAGGGCGAACCTGCTCACAGAAATAAGCCAGACTTTGTAGAATGCACTTTTAGAGAAGAGGGGCACTGTCCGCACTGTAAGAGCCTGGCCACACATTCGGGATCTGATGGATTGAATGTTCCAGGTCAGCTTGGTTAGCTACCAACTCTGTAAGTTGCTGTCTTAAAGAGTTGTAACCCAGGATACTTTGTTCATGAATAGGACAGACTCTTCCCCAGTCACATCTTCTAGGACCTGTTTGGATTCAGTTCATCTAAGTTCCTTTACTTCCTCTGTTAAGACTTCATCTGGTGTGGGGCGGCGGGGAGGGGATGGTGGTCATGGTAGGGTGAAAATGGAGACAAATGTATTTGAACAACAGTAAAAAAAAAACCAACAAAACAGTCTTCTGCAATGCTTAAACAAAGTAGGCATGTGAAATGTATAGAAAAAAAATAAGTTTAGCCCTAGCTGGCGTAGCTCAGTGGGTTGAGCGTGGGCTGCGAACCAAAGCATCGCAGGTTCGATTCCCAGTCAGGGCACATGCCTGGGTTGCAGGCCATGGCCCCCAGCAACTGCACATTGATGTTTCTCCCTCTCTCTCCCTCCCTTCCCTCTCTAAAAATAAATAAATAAAATCTTGAAAAAAAATAAATTGTTTTAAAAAAGAAAGAAAAAAATAAATTTAAGTATTAGTCTCAAAAAAAAAAAGACATCATCTGGTAAAGTCTTAAATTTTGTGGAAAGGATTATGATTACTCATTCTCTAACAGTGTCCTCTCCTTGAAGGATTTGGATGAATAAGCCACCTAAAGTCCCTTTTGCATCCATTTAAATAAAGTTAACAGGTCTTTGTTCATTAAGTTAAATTCTGCAGTCATCTGCTTGCAAAAGTTGGATTAGCATATTAGCTACTGGGAACTTTCCCCAGTGGCAAACTGAGGAAACTCTTTAATTTCTTGTTAGTGAATTGATACATCTTGATCCTCACAGACAACTAACTGTGCATTGATAACAAAAGCATCTAATTCTGGAAAATGTTTAAAGATTTTTGATATAAACTGAGCTACTTATCTTTTTACCTTGGCACCACCTTTCACACCCTCCAGTATCACAGGATCAGCATCTGTATGCTGGCCACTTGCTTCGTGCCATTGGCTAGGATGCCGTAATAGCAGTAAACCTCCTCCACAGCCAGAATGGTGAGCAACAGGCCCAGGGCCCCCTCCTGTCGTCACTGTAGCCCTCACTGGTGCCTCCATTGTCTCCAAAGTTCTCAAAGCCTTCGAGCCACACTATTATGCTTCCAGCTGCTGCTGCTGCGTCACTTTACTAGGTAATTCTTAGTTGTTCTGATGTAGTTAATAACTGATCAAATTGCCGTTTGTGAAAACATGAACAAACTTCAAATGAAGAGAGTATGCAAAGGGTTTAGAGGGGAAGAAGTAAAATTATCTCTCTCTGCAGATGACAGGAAAAAATACAGGTGCTTTAAGAACACACACACACACACACACACAGCATTAAGCTAATAAATTCAGCAAAGTTGTAGGACACAAAATCAACACAAAAATCAGTTATAATTCTATACACAAGCAATGAACAATCCAAACAAAATTAAGAAAACAATTCCATTCAAAATAGCGTCCAAAAGAATAAAATATTTAGGATTAAAATTTAACCAAGGAGGTATAAGACATATACACTGAAAATGACAAAACATTGCTAGAAGAAAATGGGATATCAAACTCAAAAACTTTTGTGTATCAAAGGATATAATCACCAGAACAAAAAGAACCTGCAGAATGGGAGAATGTATTTGCAAATCACACATCTGTAAGGTTAACATCCAGAACATGTAAAGAACACATACAGAATTCAACAAAAACAACCCTACTAAAAAATGCACAGACTTGAATAGACATTTCTCTAAGTGATATACAAATGGCCAAGAAGCAAATGAAAAGATGCTCAATATCACTAATTACCAAGGAAATGCAAATCAGAACTACAATGAGATATCACCTTACACCCATTAGGATGGTTACTGCTAAAAAAAATAAAATAAAATAAAATAAAATATTAAGTGTTGGTGAGGATGTGAAAAAATTGGAACCCTTGGTCATTGTTGATAAGATTGTAAAATGATGCAGATGCTATGGAAAACAGCATGGAGATTCCTCAAAAAATTACAAGTAGAATTTACTATATAATCCAGCAATCCCATTTCTGGATATACATTCAAAAGGATTGAAAGTGGGATATTTAAGAGGCATTTGCACAACCTTGTTCACAACAGCCAAAAGGCAGAAGCAGCCTGTGTCCATAGTGAATGAGGGATAACAAAATTTGGCATACACACACGGCGCAGTATTTATTGTTCAGCCTTAAAAAAGAAGGAATCCTGTCACATTACAACCTGGATGTACCTTGAGGACATTATGCTAAATGAAATAAGCCGATCACAAAGATGAAAGTGTATGAGTTCACTTCTATGAGTTATCTAAAGTAATCAAATTCATAGAAACAGAAAGGAGAACAGTGGTTCCCAGGGCCTTGGGGTAGGAGGGGAAAGAGGAGTGGTATCGAGTTTCCGTCAGCTGAGAAGAAAAAACTCCGGGGATCTGTTTCACAACAATGTGAACATACTTATCATTGCTAAACTGTACACTTAACAGTCCAGAGTAGTAAATCTGTGACATGTTTTTTACCACAATAAAAAACTAAATTTAAAAAAATCCTATCACCCTCTTTTGTAGGAATGAAATCAAAGCAGTGTGGCAATGGTGGAGGACAGACACAGAGATCAATGGAAAAGAATCAAGAGTCCAAAAATAAACCTATACATCTGTCGTCAATTGATTTTCTACAAGAATGCAAAGATCATTCAATGGGGAAAGAACAGTTTCTCTAACAAATGGTGCAAGTGGGGTTGTGCTGCCCTCTAGGCAAAATTCCAGAGGCAAAGGTTTGGGGATAAAGGAAAGGAGTCTTTATTCAAAAGCTTCACAATTTTGGAGTAACAGCTTTCCACATGCCTTAGTCATTTAAACCTATCAATTAAGGCTAAGCTCTTCAATTCTTCAGTTATAGCTTTAATCACACCTATTAATTAAGGCTAAACTCTTTAACACCTGCTTTCTCCTAGTATTCCCTCTATTTTAATTATCTTATTTCGATAGGATTAGTTTACAAACTAGAACAATGTAAGACACAAAAACTACACAATTTTGGAAGAATGGCAGGCTTTTGTCTCGAAGGTTGTTCCCTCTATAAGATACCCAAAGAAGAATAACCCTGCCACCCTCTGACTGGCCAGCCTGATCCTAGGCTGCATCCGGAGTTCCTTCCCATCCAAAATACAGTCCATTGGGAAACACTGGCAGCTGCAGGATGTTCATCCAGACATCCCTGAAGCAGAAGGGAGAGCCTGAGAGCCCTTCTTTCATTTCAAATCTTCTAGTCCATAATTCCACTCTGGAGGCAATTAGCTTCTCAGCCAATTCCATCCTATTCTGTTTACCATTGCCTCAAGCAACCTTCTCTTAAGGCTCCTCCCTGCTCCCCTGCCACCCCACGCCAGTGATCTGATCAGGTATCTGTATCACCAAGCAAAGTGGATATCCACATGTAACAGAAAGAAGTTGGACCCCTATCTCACACCACATACAAAAATCAACTCAAAATGAATCAAACACCTAAATATAAGAGCTAAACTATAAAACCTTTAAAAGAAAATACAGAGGTAAATCTTCATGACCTTAGATTTGCCAATAGATTCTCAGACAATTACATCAAAAACACTAAAAATAAAAGAAAATGTTGGACTGCACCAAAATTACACTTGTCAAAGGCACAGGAAACAAAAGCAAAAACAGACAAGGGAGACTACATCAAGCTAAAAAGCTGGACAGCAAAAGGAAGCAATTAACAGAGTGAAAGGCCACTTACGCAAGAAAATATCTGCAAACCATCTTTCTGTTAAGGGGTTAATATTAAAAAATATATTCCCAGTCAGGGTACATGCCTGGGTTGCAGGCCATGACCCCCAGCAACCACACATTGATGTTTCTCTCTCTCTCTCTCCCCACCTCCTTTCCCTCTCTAAAAAGAAATAAAATAAAATCTTTAAAAAAATATATAAGAAACTTCCTCAATTCTATAGCAAAACCCCCTCCAGCCACAAATAAGACAATTAAAAGATGGGCAAAGGATTTGAACAGATTTGTCTCCAAAGACATACAAACTAGGCTCAGAGAAGTTTTAGGTTGGTGAGCAAGAAGGCATCCACATGCCCAGGTGGTGGCATCTACGGGGTCAGAAGCACCTGTGCTCAACACCCTTCCAGACCTTACCCTATCTCTTCACCTGGCCATTCATTTGTATCCTTTAATATCCTTTGTAATAAATCAGTAATCTACCAAGTAAACCATTTCCCTGAGTTCTGAGCCATTCTAGTAAATGATTAAATCAGAGAGGGTTGTGGGAACCTCTGATTTATGGTTGGTCAGAAGCACACAGGTGACAACCTAAACGACACCAGCAATGTGGGACTAAGCCCTGAAATTGTGGAATCTGACCCTCTCTCCAGGTGGATAGTGTCAGAATTGAACTAAACTGTAAGACACCTCCTCACTGGTCTAAAATTATTCCTTGGTGTGAGGAAAACTCCACACATTTGAAGTATAGAGTATTCTCTAAGTAGTGGGTAAAGGAAAACAAGATTTTTTTTTTCAGGTATCTAACAAAGTCAAGCACATAGAAACAGAGAGCAGAATGGCGACGTCACGGGTTGGGAGCAGGGGAAAATGGGGAATTACCATTCAACAGGTACGATGTTTCAGTTATGCAGGATGATTGAGTTCCGAAGATCTGCCATACAACACTGTGTTTACAGTTAACAACACGTATTGTGCACATAAAAGTTTGTTAAGGGACAGACCTCATGTTAAGTGTTCTTCACAACAACAAAAAATTAAAACTTTTGTGAATAAAAGGACACTATCAACAGAATGTACAGACAACGTACAAAATGGAAGAAAATACATGCAAATTATTTATCTGATACTGGTCTTATATCCAAAATACATATGGAGGTCTTATAACTCAACAACAAAAAGGCAAACAACCCAATTAAAAAACAGTCAAGACGTTTCTCCAAATACATAAAAATGGCCAATAAGCACAGGCAAAGATGCTAGACATTATTAACCAATAGGGAGATGCAGATCAAAACCATGAGATAACACTCCACTAGTCTAACTATAATCAGAATAACAGAAAATAAGTATTGGTGAGGATGTGGAGAAACTGTAAATATGGTGTGTAGTCCACAGGAAGGTAAAATTGATAGGGCAACTGAAAGAGTTAAAAGATGTTAGTTTCTATCATAGTTGACAGGCTTAAGGGATTAATGCCTGTGGGAAGCTGTCATTCCAGGAACTGGAATGCAGGATATACAGGACTCCAGGTTGACGAGCAATTCAACCCTTGTGCCCCAGGGGCCTGCAAACTACATCTCTGAGCCCTGGTGTGCCAGGGAGGGAACATGTGTGTGGTAGATAAAGAACTGTTGATCAACAGATAAAGAAATACTAGGAAGGTTGCATCCAGACTGAAACTCTTATCTAATTAACCTTTTTTCAAATCCTTTACCTACCCTTTTCTTCTTCCCATAAACAGGTGAGCTTGAGATGAGACGTTAAGACTTTTTTGAAGGTACACAGTCCACTATCTTCTCAGACTGCCCGCATCTAAATAAAGTGCCCATAAAGATTCAGTCCTTGTCCCTACTCAGTGGTTGTGGTGGTGACAGGCAGCACGAATGCTGGCTTTTCCGGTTTCAAAATGGCTCAGCCACTATGGAAAAGTTTCATGACTCCTCAAAAATTTAAACACAGAATTACTATATGACTCAGCAATTTTACTCTTTGGTACAAAGAACTGAAAATACAAATTTGAACAAAATTTGTACACAAATTTGTACACAAAAACATGGCCAGTATAATATACCCCTACAACGGAATATTCTTCAGCCATAAAAAGGACAGAGGTACCGATGTATAATATAAATTGGATAAACCTTGAAACATTAGGCTAAGCAAAAGATGACAGACACCAAGGAGTTCTCTTATTATATGATCCATTTGTTTGAAAAGTCCAGAATAGGCAAATCCATTGAGACAAAAAGTAGATTAACTGTTACCAGTGACTGGGATGAAGGGGAAACAGAAAATGACTGTTACTGGGTATGGGCTTCCTTCTGGGTGATGAAAACACTTGAAACCAGGAAAGAGGTAATGGCTGCACAACATTGTGAATGTGCTAAATGCCACTAAACAGTATGCCTTAATATGGTTAATTGTATATTATGTAATTTACCTCAATTTAAAAAAAAAAAAAGGCAGTAGGAAAACCAGACATGAGGTATCTGGTAAGAAAAAGGGAGATATTTACAAACCAAAAACTCCCTAAACTCTAGCTGAAGGAGGTAACAAGTATAAGCAGTTCCTTTAAGAATCCAGCTTCACTCCTAACAGAAAGCTTGAGTACTACTCCATGAGGTCAGTTCCTATTCCATGGCTTCTTTCCATAGGCCACAGGTCTCAGTTCTCTTGCCAGTCATCCTGTGCCCAGGTAGGCATGGGTGAAGAGTACTCGAATCCTGGTCCTTTATAGCATAGGGCATGCAAAAACATCACAAGGTCCTGGGGCAAGGGGTCCTGTCGCACCAGTCGGCACTCTGCACAGAGCGGGTCTATCTCTTGATTCACATCTTTTTCAGCTGCCTTCCCTGGTGCCAGGGCCTTTGTGTCCAGATCCTGAGGGGCTGCCTCAAGTATTCCATCCATCTGTTGGGCAGATGAAACCAAGCCTTCAAGGTGGTCCTTGCCCAGCTCTGAGGAGGGAGCTGTGGAGTCTGTGAGTGCTGAGGACAGGTCACCTTCACAGAGATCTATCACATCCAGGCTCTGTTTGGCTTGGTGCTCTGCCACAAGGTCCCGCAGCAATTCCTCATCCGTCTTGGGAATGTGGCCACCCTGGCCCCGGGAGGGACCCCAGGCCACTGAGTTGTAGATGGGGTCATTTAGGATGGGGTGGCCCAAGAATTGGAGGTGGACTCGGATCTGGTGGGTACGACCTGTGAGTGGCCGACACCGCACCACACTGGAGTGGCCGTTGTAGCTCAGTCTCTGAAACACTGTCTCACAGGGTTTGCCCCGAGTATCTACACGACACACCCCTACCTTGTAAGACACTACCAAGATGGGTTCCTTGCAGGTTACTTCCTCAGCGGGGAACTCCCCCTCTACCCGGCACACGTACTCCTTCTCCAGCTGCACAGGAGGGAAGAGGCAGAAAATCAGCACAAAGCCTAAAGTCATGAAACCCTGACCCTCTGCAAGTGGTGAGGAATACACTAGTGCCAGACAAGACGATGCAAATCCCAGCTCCACCATTTGCCAGTTTTGTGACTCAGAGTCCATTACTTAGCCTCTTTAAACCCATTTAACTTGTCTAGAAAAAGTGAAATTAGAAAAGCTTTTATCTCAAAGGGCTGTTATAAGGATTCAGAAAGTTAGACTTAATGCATTTGGTACTTAGCCTGGTATGCAGTAAGCACTCAATAAATGTATCAATCAGATCCACAATTACAAGTCTCAAGACCACAATCACTATCATTTAACCATTTTACCCAAGCCTCTTCCAATTGTATCCACAATCTTTCCACCAGGTAGGCTCTCCCCACAATCTCAAAAACCTTGCTCAGCCTGTCAGCACTTTAAAACATCAAAAGGGCAAAGTACCAAGAGAGGCAGTGTATGCCATCTCTAAAAATCTCTTGACACATGAGATATTAATAACCTGTTTTTGGCACTTTAGGCATTAACCTCCCTGAAGGTAGGACACATGGCCAGATCAAATACAATGGCCCACTTCAGCTAGGACTCAGGGACACCCTTTTGACACACAGCATTTGTGAGCCCAGGAAGAGACCTGCATGAGACAAAAGCCAGGCTCACCTGCCGGTCCCGAACTTGCTCATGTATTCTCTCCGAAACAGCTGCTGTCTTGGCAAACATGAGGACCCCAGAGGTAAGGCGGTCAAGCCGATGCAGTGGGTGTAGCTCCTTCAGTTGGTGCTCCTTGCCCAGGATGAAGATGACCGTGTTGTGTCGGAAGCGGCCACAGGGGTGGACAGGAATGGAAGAAGGCTTGTCTACAACCACCACATCTTCATTCTCAGCCAGCAGGCGGACAGGCTCTGCCGTGACTGGTGGCTCATGCCTGTGCACTGTGTTCCGCAAGAAGTCATTGTCCTGCCAACGACACAGGCAATTGGTCAGCCCCGAGGCCAGCAATCTGTCATCAGTCAACTTCACACACAGCCTCCTGTTATTTATTGACACAGAAGAATGGTCACAATATGTCCTTACACAGAAAAAGCAGTATGTATAGTGCATTCTCATTTTGTAAAAATTCAGACACACAACACAGGCAGAAGCAGGCACTGGAAAAAAGAACTAAAAGGATATACCCAAAACATCAATGGTAATATCTCTGGGTGGTAGGATTATGGATGGTTTTTGATTTTGCTTATTTGTATTTTCTCTATAATGTTATATTCAAAAGATAAATATTTGTCTAAAATAGAGGAAAAAATCTCCATAAATCATCACTTTTCATGACCTTCAAGAAATAACACCAAGCATTAAGTCCAGAGATCTGAGCTCTAGAGCTAGATTCCCCACAGGCCCACTGCAAGTCACTTCACCTCTCTGGGTCTGTTTCCTTGTCTGTAAAATGTGAAGGCTAGACCAGATCTGTGCTTTTCAAAAGTGGAATGGGGGAGAGGGTTCAAACCACCACCCATTCCCCGAATGCTGAAATCTCCTCCTCTCCTCTCACAACCTGGTGAGCCAGTGTTACTGACAAGGGTGTCCAGTACCTCTTAGCTGTGAAGGAATTTTAAAGAAGGGTCAAAGCACGGGGCTAGGCAGCTTGTCTTTATCCCTGACAGTTCACCATTCAGTCATATCAGGCTCTATAGTAAATAATTGAAGTAGTTATAAGAACACAGGCTTTGGAGGCGACACCGTTGCCTTACCTCTGCAAGGTTTACCTTAGTTTCCTCACAGGTAAAATGAGGTGGCAATACATACCCCACAAGGCTGTCGATAAAATTAAATATTAAGTACTTAAAATGCTTAACTCTGTACCCAACATAGTAAGGAGACATAAACGATAGCCTCTACTATATTATTTGTACAGACATCCACAATGCAAAAGAGAGAGTGATCATTGTCAGTGCCAGTGGTACAAGGCTGCTGCATGAAAGGAGCCGCAGGAATTTCAACTTCAGTCCTTTGGAAACAAGAAAAGATTTTTTTGAAGCACTGAGTTTTGAAGCGCTGAGGCTACTTGTGGAGATGGGGTGAGAGGAGGGGGCTGAAAGACTTTTCCAAGTGAAAGCGAGAAAGCTTCGGAATTACTCCGATTTTACTCCAGTACCTATGCCCTACTTGCTCAGAAAAAAACCCTGCCCCTTTCCTCGCTCCCTTCCGGCCGGCCCTATCAGGACTCTACCTTGAGCACAATGCTGAGGTCCTGTACCGGCTCCTCGTTGAGGCGGAGACGCCCTGCTCGGACCGCAGCCTCGTAGTAGGACAGGGGCTGGGCTCGGAACTCGGTGCTGAAGACGTGCAGCAAGCTGTGACCCACCCAACGGCCTTTGCAATAGGTTCGGAAGTCAAAGTAGTAAGGCCGCACTTTGCGCAGGCCGCCCTCGAAGTAGTAGCTGGTCTCTGCAAAGTGCTCATCGCCGAAGCTCACCCCTGCCCGGCGCTTCTTCGGGGGCGGCACCACGCGCTCCCCGGTTGCGCCCCGCCGCTTCTTCCGCTTGCCTGGGTCCTGCGGTGCAGCCGGGGCCTGCTCCTCGCTCCCTGTGGCCTGCTGCCCGTCCTTCGGGGCCAGCTCCACTCCCCGGGCCGCCGGCTGCGGGCGCCCTGGGGGCGGCTCACCCCTCGCGACGCCACCCGTGTCTCCGTTTTGCTGAGCCGGAGCCCTCAACCCGCTCGCTGCCTCCGCCTCAGTCGAGAGCGTTTCCGCCATCGGGCCCCTACGGCCACTGCAAGTCCTGGCAAAGCGTAGGCACCGCAAGTTCAAACACTCCTGCATGCGAATCGGGAGCCATCTAGGGACGCCTAACCACATAACCACGCGGGCTCTACTCCTGGGTCGCAATCTGAATACGTCACTCAGCACCAGCCAATCCTGAGGCCCAGTGCCGATGTGGGGACTGAAGAAAGGGAGTGAGGGGAACGAGTTGAATGAGTTGAGAGGCCAGTTGAGAGACTGTGAGACTCAACAAAAGCATTGATTTTATGTAGATATACTCAAAGTTCCTTGGGTCTGGAAAAGCTCCTGAAAAGAGATTTATTACTTACTTTAGAGAGAGGAGAAGAAAGAGAAACAAACATCCATGTGTAAGAGAAACCTGATAGGCTGCCTCTCCTATGTGCTCTGATCGGGATCAAACCCGCGACCTTTTGGTTTAAGGGATGATGCTAGCTAGGGATCTTTTGTTGTTGTTGTTGTTGTTGTTCATTGTTTTTTAAAAGATTTTATTTATTTAGTTCTAGAGAGAGGGGACGGGACAGGGAGAAAGAGGGAGAGAAACATCAATCAGTTGCCTCTCCTATGTGCCCCAGCCGGTACCAGCCAGCAACTCAGGCATGTGCCCTGACTGGGAATCAAACAAGTGACCTTTTGCTTGGAGGAATGATGCCTAACCCATTGAGCCACACCAGTCAGGGCTAATTGATTTTGTGAGAGTGAGAGAGAGGGGGGAGAGAGAGAGAGGTTGATTTTGTTGTTCCACTTATTTATGTATTCATTAGTTGCTTTCTTGTACATGCCCTGACTGGCGATTGAATCTGCAACCTTGGCATATGGGGAAGATGCACTGACCTACCCAACCGACCTACCCAACCACGGCCACATTTGTCCTTTCAAATTAGTATGTTTTGTTTCTTCGGATAAATACCCAGGGGTGAAATGCCAGGTCATAAGGTAGTTCTATTTTTATTTTTTTGAGGAAACTCCATACTCTTTTTCCTTAGTAGCTGCATAAGTTTACAAACCCAGCAACAGTGCATGAGGGTCTCCTTTCCTCCACACCCTCACCAACACATTGTATGTTGATTTATTGGTACTAGCCATTCTGACAGGTGTGAGGTGATATATCATTGTAGTTTTAATCTATATTTTCCTGATGAGTAGTGATGTTATGCATTTCTTCATGTGTCTATTGGCCATCTGTATGCCCTCTTTGGAGAAATGTCTATTCAGGTCCTATGCTCACTGCCCTTAGCTGGCTTCCCAGCATGAGAAGTCCCTGGAGAGGAGGAGATCACCATGGTTTCAGCTGTGCAAGTCCAGGATCTGGTTTGTGGTTTATCCAGCACACACACTAATTACTCAGAGAACATGGGTGAATCACTGAGGTTACCAATTTGTCAATCTTCAACTGTAACTTTAAGTTACAAAATATATTCCATTCATGCCTACTGTTAAAGACACCCTTATCAAGATATCTGAAAGGCGAAATTTGAAACCAAGATTTTGTTTGGTGAGCAGGGAATCAGACAAAAAGGCACAAGTGAGTTGAGAAGCCATGGAATAGTTTGATGAAACACCACAAATCTGGGTAAGTGCTCCTTTCTATGAATCAGGTGCTGCCAGATTCCTGTTATGTATAGGGTGGTAGTTGGAGGACTCTAAGGATCCTTCAGTGGGAGATTCCACTCTGCCCATTTATTCTCTGTAAATAAGCACCATCAAAATCTTGCCTTTTAGTTGCTCCTTTGTTTTGTAACCTCCTTGCTTTTCACTTCCTTCTATTTGCATATTCTAAGGATGGTTATGAATGTAAGCAAGGGAGTACCTTGTAGTTACTTTCACAGGTTGGTAGTTGTTAACACCATAGCCATATTAATTGACTTTGGACACATCTAGAGACTAGATCATAAGCCAAGTTATTTCTACTGATGGTTTTTTTTAGAAGTAACCAGCCCTGGAAATTGGGGATTTAGGGGTGAAGAAGAGTTGCATTTCAGCATATTGATAACCCCTAAAAGATATCAAAGGTCACCTCGTTTTATTTTTTAGTATTTTTAATCCTCACCTGAGGAAGTATTTATTGATTTTAGAGAAGAAGGGAAAGAGAGAGAAAGAGAGAGGGAAACATGGATCCATTGCCTACCTGAAGCACCAGGGAACAGGGTCCTTGACCTGTAACCTAGGTCAGGGCAAATATTATATTTTGCCATGTATAATGTACATTTTTTGCCTAAGTTTTTGAGGGAAAAATAAGGATGTGCATTATACATGGGTAGTACTAATTCCATATATATGTATATATATACATAAATATTTTAAATTATTTTATTTATGCATTAAAAGTAACTCTAGAAAGCAATAACAATATCTGTATGTTCAAAAATAAATGCTAAAATTCTTTTATAATACAAGAAACAAGTATCTAAATATAAATAAACAAATAATTGAATTAAAAAATTAAAATGAAAGATTTTTTCCCTGAAAGTTTGGGCCAAAAAACATGAGTGTGAATTATACACGTCAAAATATGGTATTTGCCCTGACCGGAATCAAATCTACAACCTCTTGGTGTAGGGGAGGATGCTCCATCAACTGAACCACCTGGTCAGGGCAAAGGCCATTTCCTTTTAAAAAGTGTTTTTGACACTCTCCTCCCAAGACCACTGTCTCCTGTATGTACTCTGACCACACTTCTGTCAGATTCTCTGTAACTATTTTGTGTTATTTGTAAAGTTGTCTGCCCCTTGGCGCACCAACTTACACTAAGCTGTAAAGACCTCTGGAACCCATATCTAGTCTATGTCTTAAATTCCCGTCTAACACAACTGGAGCTTGGCGACTATTGATTACATGAATGAAGGAAAGCTTCATAACTTAAATGGGACATAGGTGTCCTATAAGAGAAGTCTCCTCCTTCCCCATCCGAACCGCAGAAGGGCTCTGACTTGGGTAGCAAAGGACTGACATTTTCAGAGACAAACACTGGCCTGGAGAATTGTTGAGGAGGTGAACTTGCTCAAGGGAGCGAGCCAAGTCAGAAGCCTTGAAAACTGGATCTCCTTGTCTGAGCAGGAAATCGGTGGACGGCCCTGTCCCCGCGTCTGAAATCAGTAGAAATAAGCGAAATGGGCCCTAGCACAGTAGTTCAGTTGATTAGAGCAGCCTACTAAACTGCCAAGGGTGAGGACTGGGTCTCCAGTCAGGGCACTTACAAGAAGCAACCAGTGAATGCATGAATAAGTGGATGGACAAGTCTATATTTCTCTCTCTCTCTATCCCTTCCTCTTTCTCTCTAAAAGTCAGTAAATAAAATTAAAAAATATGTAAGTCCAATCAACCTAGCTCCAGGGGAAAGTAGAGGCCCAGGGCGCTAGACTCCACCGTTTCCCGGCAACAACAGGCCCGCCCACCCATTCTTTGCACTCAGCTCCTCACTTCCTCATCCACCGGACCTATGGAGGCACAGCACATCGCCAGCTCTGCTGGTGGTTGGAGGACTTCCAGGATCCGACACTCGGAAGCTCCACCCACCTACGGCTGAAAGAGCTGAGCTGAGGGTTTGCGGGCAGCTTCGCAGGCTGTTGCGGTAGGTAAGGAGGGGCGGGACCCCCAGCGTCTTGTATCCTCGGCTCGGGAACCATCCTGGAATACCACAGAAAGACCTCGGACTCTGATTTATCCTGCCCAGCCAGTCCTTCAGACCAGGTGATTGAGGCTCCGGTTCTGGACACCGGAGTTCCCTGCGTTGTAGACTTCCTGGGGGTAGTGGGTACCGGGGCTCCGGTGTGAGCAAATTTTTGGTTTGGGTGCGTTTAAACAATTTTGGGATGGGGTGGGGTTCTTTATGGTCCCTGGCATTAGTTCTTTCAGGGCCGCCGTGACATATCTGTCCGTTTTACTTCCGGGCCCTTGTGTTGGTTTGGGCTTTCCAGGAATTATATAAACCTTTCTGCAGGCAGCCTTCCTAATCTCAAAGGCCCACCCCCGAGAGAAGGTGTCAACCCATCCTGTAAGACTAGATAGTTATGAAAGCTCCCAGGCGCTGTGCGTAGCCCTTACTATATACCTTTTGGGGGGGCTACTTTCAGTATATTCCCAATCAGGAAGAACGGTATTGGGTAAAAACATGGATTTTGGAGTGTCACAGGTCTCCAAATCAAGGATTCCAATCAAGGATTCACAACATAGCAATAATATACCTACCGCTGACAAGTTACCCTTCTGATCCTCAGATCCTACAGATTCTTCACCTGCAAAGTGATCAAAATGTCTGTCTTTCAGTGTCTCTGACTATTAAAATAAGAACACGGGCACACAGGCCAGCTTCTACATGTAATGAGCACAGGGGCCTTTGCATATGACAGTGCTCTCTGAGAGACACTTTTCACCAAGCAGCATTTTTATTATCCTTATGTATATGGAACTGGGCAAGACCTTTAGTCTGTGCCCTGTTGAAAACAGAATTTAATTGGCTGAGAACAGAGTGGTTGCATTTGGGAGGTTTTTGGAGAAAAGTGCAGGATGATTGTCTTCATTGGAAATGTCATAGAAAGGTACACACATGTATGTGTATTTTAAAACATACAAACAAAATTTACCATTTTAACAATTTTTAGATGTATAATTAAGTGGCATTCACATTGTCATGCAACCATCACTGCAGTCCATCTCTAGAACTTCCCAAACTGAAACTCTGTAGCCATTAAACAGTAACCACCCCCCACCCCCATTCCGCTGTTCCCACAGCCCCTGGCAACCACTGTCCAATTTTCTGTCTCTATGAGTTTGACTGCACTAGTCACCTCACATGAGTGGAATCATTCAATATTTGTCCTTTTGTATCTGGCGTATAGAAATTCCATTTTAAAGACAAACTTCCTTATGAAAACAATTCAAATGCAGAGCCAGAAGAGGAACCCAATTACCTTTTTGTCATCTTTTTATCTGTAACACAGAAACCTAATAGAAGACATTTTAAATTTTGTTAAGAGAAACTTCTTAAAAGCATATCACCTTCAATGGGTAAACATATCTGAATACTACATACTCAGACTGTATCCTTAAAGCCTGTCCTTGCTCACTTGAGCTTCTGTTTTTCAGCTCAAATCCCAAATGAAAATGTTTGAGAGCATTGACTCTACAGCCACTAAATCTGGCCCAGATCTTTGGGCTGAAATCTGTTCCTGCCTGCCAAATCCTGACCAAGAGGATGATGCCAAAAATGCCTTCTCAGACTCCTTTATGGATTCTTACCCCACAGGCACAGGCCAGAGGGAGGCCTCAAACTTTTCTACCCAGCCATCCACAAAGCCCTGGGCTCCCTTGCAAGATTCAGAAGTGTATTTAGCATCTCTAGGTAAGTTAGATGGCTTTTTTTTTTCAGTCATAAACTGATGACTTTAAGGATGCTTGTTGAATTTCTTTTACATCAAACCTGGATTTCTGTTCTTAAAAAAAAAAAGTTTTGTTGTTTTTTTTTTGCCCTGGCTGTTGTGGCTCAGTGGATTGAGTGCTGGCCTGCAAACCAAAGGGTCACCGGTTGGAGACCCAGTCTCTGGCACATGCCTGCAGGCATGTGCCCCCAGTAGGGGGCACAGAAGAAGCAACCACATACTGATGTTTCTTTCCCTCTCTCTCTGACCCATCCCCTCTGTCTAAAAATAAATAAATAAAATCTTTTATTTATTTATTTATTTTTAGAGAGGGAAGGGAGGGAAATAGAGAGAGAGAGAAACATCAATGTGCGGTTGCTGGGGGTTATGGCCTGCAACCCAAGCATGTACCCTGGCTGGGAATCGAACCTGGGACACTTTGGTTCCCAGCCCGCGCTCAATCCACTGAGCCACGCCAGCCAGGGCTAATAAAATCTTTTTAAAAAATGTTTTATTGTCCTCGCCACATGTATCTGTCAGGTATAAGTCTAGGGGTGTTTCAGGTTGGTTGTGGGAAGGACCCCCTTTTCCTTGTACATCCCTTAACACAGTCTTTATCATTTCTTGTCTCTCTTTTATCTAAATTCTGCTTTATTTCTTGGCATTCTGTAGACCCTCTGCCTACTAATGGGGGATCATATATTCAAATAACTCTAAAGTATCAAACCTTTTGCCATCCTGAAAGAAAAGGTTATGGCCCCAGAGCTACATGTAGGTTTCTGGTGCTATAGTTTGAAAAACGTATATTAAATAGATTGATGGTTGGAATGGGAGCATGTTGACATAAAATGTATTTTGCATCTTGTTAGCCATTTTATGTTTTATTATTTCCTGAACACATTTTCACTGTCCTGTCCTGTAGCCTTAAGTGTAAGAAACTAACACAGGAAAACACAGGAGAGAGATTGAGATCGTCCCTTACCAGGGGAAAGAGAAACAGCAGTCAAAGGCAGCGATTGCCGTGCTTTAAAATTGTGGTACATGTTTATTATTAAACACTCATGAGACCCATCTATGTTTTACAAAACCAAACTTGGGAATAATTATTTGAGGAAGGAAAGGCAATTCAGGAAGAAGAAGCTTTTGAGGAGGGAAGTATCAGAATAGAGTTTATATGATTGCTAAGAAATATCTTGGAAAAACAAAAGGAATTTTGTTAATGGTGCATTTGGAGGAAAAAGATATGAGAAACACATAGGGGGAATGGTGGATAATGAGATAGATGAGGGTGTAATGTGAGATTTGCCAGGAAGCCACCAAAGATACTCTAGTAATATTTGTAGCCATGGCCGAGCAGGTTGACGGTTCTGCTTTGTGATAGTCAGAACATCTGTTTGATGATGATAAGAAGAAGAAGCAACATTCTGAGAAAGCTGAAGAATCAGGTCCTTTGGTGTGCTGGTACTCTGCACCCAGGGGTTATAGGAAACTTTCATGGGTCAGAGACATGGGAGCCGTTAGGATGGGAAAGCTGACAACTGTGCCCACAGGTCTGATGTTTGTGCCTATTAGTGTGCGTACAGCCACAAAAGAGGAATCCAAAAAGCTAGTGAAACTAGAGCAGTTCCCCTGGTATACTGCACCCCCCTTCCAGGCTAAATTATGTTGAAGAGCAGCCTGGTAACTTAGAAATGGGCTTTGTCTCCATCCACACTACACCTGGTCGTTATATTGGTTGGCTGGTGCATATGTTTATCTGAAGAACCCACCATGAGATTTTCTTCCAAAAATTGGAGTGATTACAGTTTCAGGATTGGTAGGCTTGGTTTCAGCACGAAAACATTCTAGATTTAAGAAAATTGGTTCTCCACTGGGACTGGCCACTTTCGGTATTTGTTACCCAATTCAGTGCATAATAAATTTGCAAAGGTAACTGGAAAAAGGCATATGCTACAAGCCAGCAAATTTATGAAGCAGTTGAATTATGATGGACAAAAAACAATAGAAAAAAAGTACTTCCTGAACCTAAAGAAATAACTAAGCTGGGACGCTCTGCTGAAATAGAAATAGCTGCAAAAACAACTCACGACCTGAAACAGTCAGTGGCTTTGCCAACAAAACTCAGCTCTGAAGTGCAGACCAAATTGGAATCCACCTCAGGTGCTACACAGTTTATGCCCGACCCCCAGCTCATGGATCATGGGTAGTCCCATCCCGAAGGTGTAGATATGTACAGCACTAGAAGCTGAAACAGTCTATGTAGAGAACACTGGATGTGTGAAGTTCCAAATAATGAAAAAATCATGCAATTGGTAACTTTGACATATAGAGTATAACTTAGTGCAAGCTTACCCTTTACATCTTCTAATGTATAGTTTAACCAATCACATAAGTGATTAAAACTCACACAGCAAATACAATGCAAACAATATTAAAGGATTGGTGACGAGGCAAGAAGTAGTAGTGTTAGAATGCATTCGATGGCTTTGAAGGGTGTTTATTAAAAAACAAAAAATAGATTAAATATATGAACACTTATGAGACTAAAATCTGAAAAAAAACCCACATGTATGTATGTATGTATGTATATATATAAATACTACCTCCCCCCTTTTTTATTTCCTAGAGCTAAAATAAAATATGCATATTTTATTACCAAAAAAAGAAAAACTTTCATGGATTTGGTGATGATTTTGATTGGTTTGGAAAGTCAAAACTCCCCTGATATTTTCTAAAGTCAGTTAAGACAATAATTAAAATATCCTTCTCTGAGGAAAGTGAGAACCATTCCTGGCTCCTACGGCAGAGTCTGGGAGACAGCAGCAGGCAGGTCTGGAGTAGGTAATGGTGCCAGTCTCTGCCTGCCCAGCTGAGATCACTGAGCACACTCAGCGAGGGGAAGAGCTTTTCCAATGCAGAAGAGTGCCCTCCACCTTGACAGCCAAGGCCAGACAATATAAAGATTGTTTTTATTGCCAAATAAACTATATCAAAGAGAATTCACTAAGATAACAACTAAAAACGTAGCCAGTTAAACATGAGAGAGGCATAATCCTTTTCATATTCTCAAGGAGAAAAAAATTCCTCAAATATTTAACATTTGTCAAATGCAGGTGTTTTATGTGGGTGAACTCTTGGTGGTAACTTCAGCTGCAAAAGGTATTTCTTGTTTTGATCAGTGGCCACTAGCGGATGTGGCTTGTTTAGAAATGACAACAGGATTGCAACTCAGAGAGTTTCTATTGGTTCTAGGCTTGATGTCTACTCGCCCACCGCCCACAAAGCTCTCATTTACCCATCTATTACAGGTGAAGGCAGAAGGTACATGGTGATACCCTTCCTTGTATTCTTCAAAAGGGTGTATCTGTTCAACAATTATACTTAAAATGCAAATAAGAGTAATTAAACATCTATCATCAGGAAGCCATATGGATCAAGCTCAAAGGGATTACAAGATGTTTGTTTTTATGAGGCTCCCACAAGTTGAGCAACTTTAAAAAGGGGATTCCCTCTCTTTAACCAGGAATTTAATCACACATAGAAATCTTAAAAGTCTCTTATTATTGAGTTCTTTTCAAGTCAATTTTAGTGTCTAACGAACCATTGGATCTCTCATCATTTTCTCTAATTCTCATGAGGTTTCAAAACCACTTCATGTCATTGTAGCGAAAAGAAAAACCACTTACTCCTCAGAGAGACATTTTCAAGGAGTTGAAGAAAGATGATAGTATACACATGTCAAGCCAGGGAAAACAAGCATTCCTTAGAGAGATACCTGCTGGGCTTCTGTGATTTCAAAGAAAACACACCATCAATTTATTTATGAGAACGTATGGCATTTCTCTTTTATGGGGTTAAACTTTTATTTGATACAATGCAGAGTGAAGACATTGTACTGGAAAAAGAAAAATGTACATTTTCCTTGATCTGTCATCCTTAAAGAATGAGCTCTTTTGTAGGGAGTGTGGATGTATTCAGCGAGAGAATTTTTAAGTTGGCATTCGCATTTTAAATTTAGTTTTATTTCATATTCAGTTTCCTTGTTAAGCTCCATTTCTTCCTTCATTAGAGAAGAAACTGAGAAGAATCAAAGGTTCGAACCAGGAAGTGACTTCTAAGGACATGCTTCGAACCCTGGCCCAGGCCAAGAAGGAATGCTGGGATCGGTTCCTCCAGGAGAAGTTAGCATCAGAGTTCTTTGTGGATGGACTTGATTCTGATGAGAGGTAATTCATTCCCGGTCCAGTCCGAGGGAACAGTCTGTTTTACTGTGGGCATTTTTCTCGATGGAATTCAGGGAGAGTGACATCTGACTCTGGTATTAGTTGGTATCAATATCAGCTTTTCTGAGCTCAACTTATCCTTTGTCAATTTGCTCTATTTGTTCTTAGTACAGCAGCAGATTTTTGAGAAAGGGAATTTTGCCAAAAAGCAAATACTCCATCTACATCTTGGTTGCAGATTAGATATAGTTGAGAATAAACCACTGTCTTCATTTTTAAAACTATTTATTTTAGATAGAGAGGGAGAGAGAAACATCAATTTGTTGTTCTACTTATTTATGGATTCATTGTTTGATTCTTGTATGTGCCCTGACCAGGGATTGAACCCACAACCTTGGCATATCAAGACTCTCTAACCTACTGAGCTACCTAGGCCAGGGCCAGATTTTTTTTTTTTTAAGATTTTATTTATTATAACCCAGGCATGTGCCCTGACTAGGAATCAAACCAGTTACCCTTTGGTTCACAGGCCAGTGTTTAATACACTGAGCCACGCCAGCCAGGGCAAGGGCCACATATTTTTAAGTACAAATACATAATACACTTGAGAAAGTACAATAGTATTCAATCAGCAACTGGAACTGTCTTTTTGCTCTGAATCTCCCTTGCCACACAGAGTTTCTGTCATATTGTAGCCACTCACATTTGTGTAGACTGAATGAATTTCTTAAGCATCTACCAACTGAAGGCACTGTGCTTGGTGTCATGGGACTGGGGTAGAGAGGACATGTAAGGAAGATTAATACCCTCTTGTTTTGTCCTTGGAACTAGTTGGGGAGAGATGACAAATACACATGAAGACTAACAATAGGAGGCAGCATAAGAGAAGAGCCAGATGAGTAGAAGTGACAGAACATGCTGTGGGAGGTGAGGGACTGTTGATCTCCCTGTAGGCTGTGGTGTTTGCGCCAGGGAAAGGGGCAGGACCTGAATAGTACCTGCAGGTGGGCAAGGTGCAGAAAGGAAAGAGGGCTTTCTGCCACAAAGCAAGGTAGTGTTTGGCACTGGGAAATGGCTCTGCCACTTACTGGTTCTGTTTTCTTGGGTAAGTAGACTGTATGTGCCTCAATTTCCTCCTCTGTAAAGCGGCAGAAACCTCGTAAGGTTATTGTGAGGGTTTAACGAATTACTATGTGTAAAGTGCTTAGGACAGTGCCTGCACATGGAAAGTACTATAAAAATGTTAGCTATTATTAATATGATTCTTCCTAACAGAATTTGAATGTTCAGTAACAAATTATTCAAAATAAAGAACAGTGAGGGGAGTAAAAACCTGGATTTTAACAAAAGGTCTTCGGGGAATATGACTTAACCTAAGTTTACAACATATCATCAACATTGATTTTGAGAGTCCCATAGTGTCAGGCGAAGATACTGCTGCTGAAATTGTGGACAATGTGCAAATAAAACTTCAGTTATATTTTACTTTTTGTAATTTGCAATGTACTTTCACTTACATTATCTTAAATACTTAATCAGCATTTTCCAAGACCTTTCGGAAATCAGTAGGGCATCTAAGGTCAGGGGAGCTACCCTCTTATGGTTCAGAAAATAATACAAAATTTGCTCTTTTCTGTATTTAAAAGCTCAACCCAATTGAGCTTTAAACTGTCCCAAACACGAAACACATAAAGATGTACAGACTCTTGACTCACTAATAATTTGGTATTGTATTCTCTTTCCCCTTGAATATTTCCCTCTTTTCCAGTCTTAAGATGAAAAGATAAAACTTTCTTCTGCCTCATTCTCAGCTAGGAATTCTTCTTCTCTGAAATCAGATCAGCACCAAGGCTCATTAACATTTCTGCGTGTTTATTAATACCTAAAATAATGTGGTTTTCCCTTCTGTATAGAACTCATTGAAATAATTCTATGAAAAGTGTGGTAGATGAAGATTAAATGCCTGTGTAGCATCTGAGTCCCCGAGCTGTGGGCACCTGTTCTCCAAGCTGTGGGCACCTGCTCCCCAAGCCTGCATCTGTGGGGACACTTCTAGTGTTGTGCAGAGCAAGTACCAGCAAACAGTAGATATGTATTTGTTTTCAAACTTCAAAACTTATGTCTTAGAAAGAGGCCATTTTGTAGGGGAATTGTGTGCTTTTCCCCTATGCGACGGCCAGTTAGGTGACCCTCTCATCGTGGTCTGCTTTTGGCAAGGGAGTGATGGGCTGAGAAATTCCACTGAGCACAACATAATTCCCCCACAGCCTGAGCCCCCCATACACTGACAGGTGTCTTAAATCTGCTGGATATGGCTTAAGACTATGTGCTATTGAGGAACATAGAATGAAATTAACATTATTTCTGGTCATTTATAACTTACCATAGATGTCTAATAGCTTCCCAGTGAGGATCCTGTGTACTTACAGAAAGTGGGAGGAGAACACTTCTCCCCTTCCCACAAATCCAAACAAAAAAAGGGCCTTCTGGCGGAGTGGCCCTTCTTTTCTTAGGGAGCATTAACGCCCAGATGTTTCCATCTTGGGGAGGTTCTGTAGGGTAACTAAACAAACAGAACTGCGGCCAGGGCAGCTAAGCGTAATTGTCTCAGACTGCCTCAGGTATGAGATTTCAAGATGCTCAGGTTTCTGCCTCACTAATAATTTGGTATTTATTTGAATGTTTCCTCCCCTTGACAATTTCTCTCCTCTCCAGTTTTGAGGGGAAAAAAGTCGGGACTGAGGCATAAGCTCTTTAGCTGCTTTCATCAAGCCTTCAGAGCCTCTGCCTTTGAAGGGGGCCTGATGCTGCTGATAGCTGAAATGCCCACCAGGGGGTATATTATGCCTGGGAGCTGCCAGGATGCACAGCTGTCAGAGGAGTATCGCTGTTCCCCTGCCATTAGCAGGGAAAAACAGTTGTAGGAAGAAATTGGTTGTGGGTGGGAAGGCAGTGCTTGAGTAACAGATAATCATTAAGTAATTAATCATCGAGGTCTGATGCAGTCACCCTTTTCTCTTGCTCTTTCCTAGCACCTTGGAACATTTCAAGAGGTGGCTACAGCCGGATAAAGTAGCCATCAGTACAGAGGAGGTCCAGTATCTGATTCCTCCGGAGTCACAGGTTGAAAAGCCAATGGCTGAGGACAAGCCAGCGTCAGAGGAGCAATAAATTACACACACTTACACACACATGTGCTTGTGCTGAGCAGCTGTGTTGAGTCCAGAGGGAACAGTGGTGAGCTCAGCAGCAGCCAGGAGGAAACTTGGGAGGGAGAAAACCCAACCTTCCACTCAACAAAGCAAACAGCTGTGGGCCCCTGAGGACTTGCTTGGGGCTGGCAGGTGTGACTGTCTTTTATGAAGTGACTGGCCCAGTGCGACCTGGATCAAAATACTGCTTTCCTGTAAGTCTCACAGCTTGCTTGAGCTCTGGTGCTTCAGGTGAGAAGTCTGCTGAGAATCTAGTGAAGGACCCAGGTAGAAGCATATTTGGAGAAACTGATGCCCTTGTGTATCATGTATAAGTTAAGTGAGCCATATTTCTCTTTGCCTCTTCTGGATTTTCGTGCCTGTGTCCCAGGTATTCTTGGGGTAACTCGTCTGAAATGAGTGGGGCCAAGGAAAGTGAAGTCTGCCTCCTTAAATCCAAGCCCCATTCAGGGATTCTCTAACAAGTCCATAATAAATATGGGGACTTTAGGAAAAGAGCCTGGGCTTTTCCTTTGTCTGATTTGTTCCTTGTGGGGAAAATGGAAAAAAGAATTATGAAAAGGCAGGTGTGTGATTTTTTAAAAATTTCATATGGGTTTTTTTCCCTTACTTCCTCCTGCACTTAAAAAGGGCTAAGTTCCAAATTAGATTTGCAAGTACAGTTTTGGTATTTGATGCCACTGCTTAAATAGTTCTCTGCTTGCTACTTGTAGCAGCTTTTTTGGCTGAGCCTATGCTTCCCTCCTTGTTTATGGTGTTGTTGTTTAGTTTGTTGTCCACATAAAATTTTTCTCATCAGAACAGCTGTATGAGTGATGCAGTTGACCTGATTCCTCCCAGGGAAATGCTCCCAGGCAGTGGGGAGGTAACAACAAATGCATGCCAACGCTGGAGAGCTGGAAACTTCTGTCGGCCTTGTTTTTAACATGTGCCCTCTGACAAGCCGAACCTTGGTGCTCTGAGGGTGCACGTCTGAGGCCATGGTTCCACGGAGCTTCTTCCTGGGCAATACATCAAAACATCATCTGTACACTGCATTGTGTGCCCATCGCCCAAAGCAAACTCTCTTTCTGTCCCCATTTATCCTCCCTTTGCCCACCTCCACCTACTCCCGACCCCCCTTCCCTCTGGCCATCACCACACTATTGTCTGTGTCCACGGGTTATATATATATATGTATATGAGTCATATGCTCTTCAGCTAATTCCTTTACCTTCTTTCATCCAGCCCCCTGACTCCCCTACACTCTGACAGCTGTCAGTCTGTTCTATGTATCCATGCCTCTGTTTCTACTTTGTCAGTTTATGTTGTTCATTAGATCCCACATGTAAGTGAGAGCATGTGGTATTTGTCTTTCTGTGACTGACTGATTTCACTTAGCATAATAATCTCTAGGTCCATCCATGCTGTTACAAAAGGTAAGATTTCCTTCTTTTTATGGCTAAGTAGTATTCCATTGTGTAAATGTACCACATCTTTTTTATTCACTCATCTACTGATGGGCATTTAGGCTGCTTCCAAATCTTGGCTATTGTAAATAATGCTGCAATGAACATAAAGGTGCATATATTCTTTTAAAAAAATATTTTATTTATTTATTTTTAGAGTTGAGAAGGGAAGGAGAAAGAGAGAGAGAAACATCAGTGTGTGGTTGCCTCTCATGTGGCCCCAACTGGGAACCCAGCCCACAACCCAGGCATGTGCCCTGGCTGGGATCCGAACCTGCGATGCTTTGGTTCGCAGCCCGAGCTCAATCCACTGAGCTACGCCAGCCAGGGGCAGGGGTGCATATATTCTTTCAAAATTAGAGTTTCAGGTTTCTTCAAATACATTCCCAGAGCTGGAATCACTGGGTCAAAAGGCAGTTCCATTTTTCATTTTTTGAGGAAACTTCATACTGTTTTTCACAGTGGCTGTACCAGTCTGCACTCCCACCAACAGTGATAGGGTTCCCTTTTCTCCACATCCTCGCCCGCACTTGTTGTTTGTTGATTTATTGATGATAGCTATTCTGACAGGAGGTGATATCTCATTGTGGATTTAATTTGCATTTTTTGATGATTAGTGACACTGAGCATTTTTCATATGTCTATTTCTCATGTGTATGTCTTCTTCGGAGAAGTGTCTATTCAGGTCCTTTGCCCATTTTTAAATTGTGTTGTTTGTCTTCCTGGTGTTGAATTGTATAAGTTCTTTATAAATTTTGGAAATTAAACCCTTATCAGATGTATCACTGGCAAATGTATTCTCCCATGCTGTGGGTTGCCCTATGCTGTACTTTACATTCCCGTGACTATTCTGTAACAACCAATTTGTACTTTTTAATCCCTTCACCTTTTTCACCCATCACCCCAACACCAGCTCCATCTGGCAACCATCAAAATGTTCTCTGTATCTATGAGTATGTTTCTGTTCTACTTGTTTATTTTGTTTTTTAGATTCAATTGTTTTTAAAATCAATTAATTTACTTATATTTAGAGATGGAAGAAGGGAGGGAACTGAGAGGGTGAGAAAGTAACATTGGTCAGTTGCCTCTCCTACGTGCCTGGCCAGGGACCGAACCTGCAACCCAGGCATATGCCCTGACTGGGCAGTGAACCGGCGACCTTTTACTTTGTGGACTGATGCCCAACCAACTGAGCCACACCAGTCAGGGCTACATTCAATTGTTGATAGAAATGTATTATTGCCATTTTATTGTTCATTTTTTAATATTTTTTCTCTCTGTTGTTCATATTTTTTATCTTCTTAAAGAAGACCCTTCAACATTTCATGTAATACTGGATTGGTGGTGATGAACTCCCTTAGCTTTTTCTTGTCTGGAAACTCTTTATCTGTTCTTAGATTCTAAGTGATAGCTTTGCTGGATAGAGTAATCTTGGTTGTAGGTTCTTACTTTTCATGACTTTGAATATTTCTTGCCAATCCCTTCTGGCTTACAAAGTTTCTGTTGAGAAATCAGCTGAGGGTCTTATGGGAGCTCCTTTGTTGGTAACTAGCTGCTTTTCTCTTGCTTCCTTTAAGATTCTCTCTTTGTCTTTAACCTTTGGCATTTTAATTTTGATGTGTCTTGATGTGGACCTCTTTGGGTTCATCTTGTTTGGGACTCTGTGTGTTTCCTGGACTGTCTATTTCCTTCACCAAGTTAAGGAAGTTTTCTGCTATTTTTTCAAATAGGTTTTTAATTTCTTGCTGTCTCTCTTCTCCTTCTGGCACCTCTATGATATGTGAACATTGGTACATTTGAAGTTGTCCCAGAAAGTTCATTGACCATCCTTATAACCAGTGTTTTGACTCTGCATCTACTAGATTGCTTGTCTTCACTTTATTTAGCTCTTTTTCTGGAGTTTATTCTGTTCTTCTATTTGGGACATGTTTCATTTGTCTCCTCATTTTGTCAGCCTCCCTGTATTTGTTTCTATATATTAGGTAGGGCTGCTACATCTCCTAGGCTTGATAGAGTGGCCTTATTTAGTAGGTGTCATATAGGGTCCAGTGGCACAACCTCCCTGATCACCCAAGCTGGGCACTGGAGGTGCATCCATGTGAGCCATGTACACCCTCCTCTTGTAGCTGAGCCTTGATTGCTGTTGATATGTCAATTGGAGGATCTGGCTGCAAGGACTGGCTGTGATCACCAACCTCCAACCATTGTGGAGGATCAGCTGTGCAGGGGCCGTTCCCACAGAGCAGGACTTACTTCAGCAGGGCTCTACTGAGCAGGGCCCACTAAGTTCACTTCTTGAATGTGTTGCTTGTGGAAGTGATTGACATGGTCTGAAATTGTCTGTTGGGTGCACTGGCTCTCAGGCCTCCCAGGAGGTACAGGCCAAGGTTAGCCGCCACCTGTGTTCTACCCAGGGCCACCCAGCATGAGCTGCAAAGCTACATGCGGATGGCTGCTACTTGTGCTGGGCTTGGAGGTGCCCAGGAGAGGCCAAACTGTGAACCCAGGCTGGCTGCTGTTAGTGCCCAGCCTGGACCCACTTTGTGAATGATATGGGGCTTGCTGAGGTCAGATGCTGCTTGTTTGAAAGATTTTAGGAAAATGTAAAACGTGAATTAAGACGAGCCATTCATATGAAAAAAAAAAAACACTGGAAACAGCTTGTCTGGACCTGAAAGTTGGGTGGGACAGGGCCTCAGGGAATCACCAGGGCAGGGCAAACAGTGTGAGCTAAGTTAATGGAGACTCAGATATGGCACTAACTGCTGGCTCTGAAAAGGAACAGTGGCCTCTGCCAGCACTTCTGTGAGGAAGAGGGCTACCCTCCAGCTCTCACCTTGATGCCCGATAATTCAGTTCCTCCCCATATGCCTCTGGTGCCCTTTTAACTACTACCCCAGCATCGGAGCTCAGAGCAACTGAGTCCGAGTAAGTCCTTATGTGGACCCTTTAAGAGGAACTGCCTAGGACTCCAGAAGCCCTCTGTCTCCCTCAGCCTCAATCCCTGCTGGTTTTTACAGCCAGAAGTTACCAGGACTTCTCTTCCTGGCACTGGAACCCTGCGCTGGGGGTGGGATCTGGTGTGAGGCTGGCACCTCTCACTCTTCAGAGAAGACCTCCACAGCTGAAATGCCCCTCTCGATTTTTATTTGTACACGGGTGTGGTGGGACCAGCTTGTTCCATGTCTCTACCTCTCCTGCCGGTCTCGCTGTGGCTTCTTTAACTCCCTAGTTGTAGGACTTCCATCAGCTAGATTTCAGGTCATTCTGAACGATGGTTGTCTAGTTTTACTTTTTAAAAATTCTTTCCAAGGACACGGTCATTGATTTTAGAGAGAGGGGAAGGAAGGGAGAGAGAGGGAGAGAAACATGTTGTGAGGGAGAAACATGTTATGAGAAAGAAACAACACTTGGTTGCCTCCTGTCCGCAATCTGACTGGGGACCAGACCGAATCCGCAACATAGGCATGTGCCCCGACCAGTAATCAAACTCGCTTTTCAGTTTAAGGGACGTGCTTTGACCAGGTGAACTATACCAGCCAGGGCTCTTTAGCTACACTTTTGATGTGGTTGTAGGAGGAGGCGAGTACTGCATTTACCTATACTGATACCACCATCTTCAGAAGTTCAAAAGATTAAGATTTTTCTCCTCCCAGCATGATAAACAAAAATTATTCTTCCTTATATATTTTGGAGATTAAACCCTTGCCCAGTGTATCATTGGCAATTATGTTTTCCCGTACAGTCAGTTCCCTTCTCATTTTGGACAAGGGTTTAATCTCTAAAATATATAAAAGAACTTACATGGCTCCACACCAGGAAGACAAAAAATCCAATTAAAAAATGGGCAAAGGACCTCAATAGACACTTCTCCAAGGAGGACATACAGAGGGCCCAGAGACATGAAAAAATCAGCATCACTAGCCATCAGAGAGATGCAAATTAAAACCACAATGAGATACCACTTCATACTGGTCAGAATGGCCATCATAACATAAATCAACAAACAAGCGCTGGCGACGCTGTAGAGAAAAGATAACCCTAGTGTACTATTAGTGGGAATGCAGACTGGTGCAGCCACAGTGGAAAACAGTATGAAATTTACTCAAAAAAATAAAAAATGGAACTGCCTTTTGACCCAGCGATTCCACTGCTGAGATTATATCCTAAGAATCCCGAGTCACCAGTTCAAAAGAACTAATGCACCCCTATGTTCATAGCTGCGCTGTTTACAATAGCCAAGTGTTAGAAACAGCCTAAGTGCCCATCAGTAGATGAATGGATTAAAAAACTGGTACAATTTACACAATGAAATACTACACAGCAGAAAGAAAGAAGGAGCTCCTACATTTT